GCCAAGTTTCTCCTGACTTTCGTGCTTAACAAATAGTGGTATGTAGAAAGCAACTTACAAATTGTATTATATCTTGATTTGATGGTCACTAGTTGCCATTAACTATGCTTTCTATACTTATTTATCGCATAATGGCCTACAACTCATTCTTCCAAGAAAACTCATTAGAAGAAGGGAATTGGATATAAAAAAAAAAAACTTTTAATAAATTTTGATAAAAGCTTATGAAATGTGCAGATGAAAAGTTACGGGTTCCATAAAATGTGTAGTTTTAATTAATTTAATTTTGACTTTTATTTTAATCAACATTTCAAGTTGAACCAAATAGATGCTAAATTTGACATGCAGCCCCTGTTTGGCCCACATTATTTTTTTCATTTTCATTCTTGTACTCATTTTCAACCACACATTTTTCAATAAAATAATATTTTCATTATATCAATAACTTTTCCTTNAACTCAACGAATGAATCTTAGCCCCTGTTTGACCCACATTATTTTTTTCATTCTCATTCTTCTACTTATTTTCAATCCCACATTTTTCAATAAAATAATATTTTCCATCACATCAATAACTTTTCCTTCATTTTCAATCACATATTCCCCATCATATCACTTCAAAAAAATGCATTCTCTCATTTTAATGTACACCAAACATGCTCGCAGTTGTTAAAATTTGAGATCAGTATTTTGAAAAGTACCAGTACCACGGTGAAGAGAGACGAAATAAGATATTATATTTTAAATTACGGAGACAAGCCTCATCTCTTTCGATTTAAATTTTGATATACCTTTATCCATGCCCCGTTCCTTTCCTCGCCCTACTCGACTCTGCTACAGTGTTTATCCCTTGCTGCCAACGTTCTCCATTACCGTTTTCCCCTGCCCCTCTCCCTAGGGGACCCCTTGACCTTTAAAGGTCTTGAGTAGCTATTATTTGGTAAAAATGAACTGAATCAAATAGAAAATAAATAAATTACATAATGAGAAAATAATTTAATTTATGGTTCTTGCATTCCACACAATTCATTAAACTTTTTTTGTGACTCAAAAATGTGGGGTTGTACGAGGAATAAGAATTACAAGTCGCATGAGATGGCCACATGACATGTTTTTTGTATTCTCTGCATCAATATACAATGCACCATTTCGTTAGGTCCACACTCCACAATTTGCTTCATTTCAAAGATTTAGTTATATATATACATATACAGCTATAATGTCACATGGCAATGCCATAAATGTATCATTCTTTGTTAACAAAAACAATTTGCAATAAATGTAAAGACTCATAAAAATGTACCTATTTTAGTATAGTTCTAGATTAATTAGTTTGAATTGTTTAATAAATTTTTTTATTTCTACCTTGTAATTAGTTGAATTCATCTTGTTCCCATTCGAACCGTCCTATAGATCAAATCTCGTCGCTTTTTTAATTATACAAATTTCTAGCTTATAAATATGGACATATTCTTAATTTTCCAATCGAAATTACTTTGAAATGTAAGGGCTTGTTCTCTTTATCATTTTCAAGCCGTTTTCTGTTTTCGATTTTTCAAAACAGTGAAAACGCGTTCTCTTTCCTATTTTCGAAAACGCATTTTTGAAAACAAATTAAAAATTTACACAGAAAACCCAAAACTACAAATTTATCGTTTTTTGAATTTACGTACAGAATATTTTATTGTGTGAATGTATAGTTGAAAGTGAATATATAGCAAGAAAAAAGTTTGAAAATAATGGTTGTGGACTAAGTCGTAAAAAGGACAAAAATAGAAAAAAGTGTGGGAGGAAAATTTATAAACGTCTAGAGGTGAAGAACCTTAGAATTAAGGCCACGAGAAAGATACCCTTTCAATCTCATATTTATTTATTTTTTTCCAAAACCATCAACTTGTACGTTTCACGCCCCCATATCTTTTTCCCATTCAACGAACCCAACTCTCTCTCTCTCTCTCTCTCTCCCCCTCTCTACGTTGTATGGCAACAAATTGAAGTACACCCCCAAAATTTAAGGCATCAAAATCTCTCATTTTTAACCCAAAAAAGGACAAAAAATGCAATTTCCCCACAAGTCAAAAACTCGATGATCAGTGTCAACATTTCACAGCCCACGATTCTTTACTCAATGCGCATACATGAATTTCCTTGTCAACTTCATCTTTGCCTCTACCTCTTTTCCTTTATATTAAGTGGTTTTTGCTTGGCTCTTTCTATATAGCGCAGGATTGGGTTTTGAAGAAGAAAGAAGGATCATCAAAAGGGTTTACAATGAACTAGATGAAGAAGAAGTAGCTTTATACACATATAGGTACATAAATATTTGCATTCAATCGGACCCTTTATCTATTTTTTTCGTTCTTCAAGATTTTAAATGTGATTTTCTTGGAAGAAACCAGGATATTGAATGTGGGATTTGTTTGTTTTTTCATTTTATTTTTGTTTCATATTGATATGAAAATTTGATGGGATTCTATGGTCAATCTTTTTCTTTTCAAAAAAAAGCTTCATGGTTTTGCATAGTTATTTTCCGTGTTTGAATTCTAATGTTAAATGTTTTCCTTAGACGATTTTCTAGTCAACTCTTTGATTTTTCAAAAAGTAGAAATAGAAAATTCTTAGCACTTTCTTTCTCTCGTTTCTAATGAGTTAATATTCTGCAAAATGGTATTCATTTTCGGTTTCGAAGTAAGTCCAACATGTCTGATATATTTCTGCATTTTCATTGCAGTTGGATATCATTCGACCGTGAGTTGTGCGTATCGACCTGTGAAGTGCTGTAACTATCGCGTTAACTATATATCTCGCCTAAAGACCTTTGCAGCTTAAGATTTTAGACCGAGATTGTGGATTTCTTTCGGTAAATTCAAAAGAACGGTTTGTATGATTAATTCGTGGCGTCGTTGATCAATATTGTAAGAAAATTCGGATAATCAATCCATCAAGATTACGATCGACTCACTACAAAAAAACTCGTTTAATTGAGCGTGGAATAGTCCTAATCGAGTCTGGCATTGCTGAAAGGTTTGATTAATCTGCAAGTTCAGTGCTAAAACAGCATCATGGAGGTAAGAACAGCAAAACATCCTAGTATCCTTAATAAGAGTGGCACCCGTATTGTTGAACTAAGGAAATCAGATAGTTTTCAGTCATTGTCAAAAGAACGTCGGAGAATAATGTTCCGGTATTTCACGTTGGAATCGTTGTTACTGCTCGGCTGCCTCACGGCGTCGTTACTGATCTTGCCGCTAGTACTTCCGCCATTGCCGCCTCCTCCCCTTATGCTGCTTCTGGTTCCTATTTGTCTACTTGTACTTCTCATTGTATTGGCTTTCATGCCTAGCAATGTCCAGAATGTGACCTATACATAAAGTGTAATTGGGGTGGAAACTACCATCAAATAGTTTTTGTTCT